TGACAGCTTGAGACTCTGTCTCAAAAAAAAATATAGCTGGGTGTTGAGCTGGACGCCTGTAGTCCCAGTTACTCAGGCTCAGACAAGAGAATTGCTTGAGCCCAAGAGTTTGAGGTTGCTGTGAGCTATAATGCCTCAGCACTCTACTGAGGGTGACGAAATGAGACTCTTGTCTCAAAAAAAAGAAAAAGTAAAAAGTATTAGCCAGGCATAAATAGTCATGTGCATCTGTATAGTCTAAGCTACTCAGGAGGTTGAGGCGGAAGGATGACTCGAGCCCAAGAATTTGAGGTTTCTGTCAGTTGTGATCATGCCACTGCACTACATCCAGCCTGTGCAGCAGAGTGAGACCCTGTCTCTTAAAAATTCTTTTTTAGGCTTAGCACCTGTAGCTCAAGTGGCTAGGGCACCAGCCACGTACACCAGAGCTGGTGGGTTTGAATCCAGCCAGGCCCGCCAAACAATGATATAACTACAGCCAAAAAATAGCCAGGCGTTTTGGCAGGCGCCTGTAGTCCCAGCTACTTGGGAGGCTAAGGTAAGAGAATTGCTTAAGCCCAAGAGTTTGAGGTTGCCACAGAGCCTTAAGCTATCCTCTTGGGTAGAATGCCATGGCATCACAGCTCACAGCAACTTTCAACTCCTGGGCTCAAGCGAGTCTCCTGCCTCAGCCTCCCAAGTAGCTGGGACCACAGGCGCCCGCCACAATGCCTGGCTATTTTTTGGTTGCAGCCGTCATTGTTGTTTTGGCAGGCTTGGGCTGGATTCGAACCTGCCACCTTAGGTGTATGTGGCTGGTGCCTTAGCCACTTGAGCCATAGGCACCGAGCCTGGCTATTTTTAGAGACAGTGTCTCGCTATTGCTCAGGCTGGTCCAAACCCTGAGCTCAGGCAGTCCACCTGCATTGGCCTACCAGAGTGCTAGGATTACAGGCGTGAGCCATCTAGCCTGACCTAATTTTTAAATTTAAATTAAAAAAGATACAAAGTGCTAAATAAAATTTTAGTATCAATTTGCTATTGATTCATACATATAATACATTATAAGTAGGGCTTATTTCTGGAATGCAAGAATGGTTCAATAAGATATCTAATTCTAGGCCAGGTGAGGTGGTTCCTGCTTGTAATCCTAGTACTCTGGGTGGGTGGTTTGCCTGAGCTCACAAATTAGAGACCAGCCTGAGCCAGAGTGAGACCCCCATCTCTACTAAAAAAGAAAAAACTAGCTAGATGTGGTAGGCACTTGTAGTCCCAGCATTCAGGAGGCTGAGGCAAGAGGATCACTTGAACCCAAGAGACTGAGGTGTTGTGAGTTATCATGATGCAACAGTACTATCTCAGGGTAACATTATCTCAAAAAAAAAAAAAAGGTAGAAAGGAACTTAGTATTTGTTAAAATTGGTACAGATCCCTTATCTGAAATGTTAGAAGCAGATGTTTATGAATTAATTTTTGTGTTTCTGAAAAACAATATAGTATATAAATACTAACCTCCCTGGCAGGATCTGGAAAAGAGCCTTATTGTTGAATCAGTAATTCTTCCAGTGACTTTTATAAGTAGAGTAAAAATGTCATACAAATGTAATGTCATTCCATTTTTTGCCAACAAATGACTTTCTTGGGGAGGGCTTTAGTTTTCTAGAGCCTTTGGATTTCAGATTTATAGATAAAGGATTGTAGAGCGCTAAATGCCAATTCAGTAGGAAAACAATGGTTTATTTTATAAATTTCTCAAAAGGAAAGTTGGATTCTCTTACTTCATACCATGAACAGGTTGAGTATCCTCCTCTGAAAATTCAAAGTCCAAAATCCTCCAAATTGAAGCATTACAAAGGTTTTGGATTTTTGCATTAGGGATGCCCAACTGGTATCGTGCAAATATTCTGAAATCCAAAACCCAAACACTTCTGCCACCAAGTATTTTGGATATTAAATGTCAATCAGTATTAAATTCCAGAAAATTTTAATATGAAAAGTCAGTATCTGAAAATATTTAGATTATTTGTTTACCCTGAGGTTAAAGGAGGCCTTCCTGAGCAAGTCAGGAAACCCAGAGGCCAGAAAGGAGTTGACCTCACAGAAACACTATGCAAGTAGCCCACCTGTATATCAGAGTCTTTTAAGAGTTCTTGGTTGGGGGTGGTGTCTGTGGCTCAGTGAGTAGGGCACCTGCCCCATATATTGAGGGTGATGGGTTCAAACCCAGCCCCAGCCAAACTGCAACAAAAAAATAGCTGGACATTGTGGTGGGCACCTGTAGTCCCACCTACTCGGGAGGATAAGGCAAGAGAATCACCTAAGCCCAAGAGCTGTGATGCCACAGCACTCCAGCAAGGGTGACAAAGTGAGACTCTGTCTCTAAAAAAAAAAAAAGAGTTCTTGGTTGGCAGGGAAATGCCAGGGAGGCAGCATATATTCTTTACTCTTTCATCCACAGTAAAAATACCCAACAGTGATAACATTCAGTGCTGATGGGCAGGCAGGAGGACCAGTTCATTGCAGGTAGAGGAAGCATGACCTGCAATATTTTGCTGAGTTATTGGGCACTTCACTTCACCTGTCTAGTTATAATTAAAAGCACCTACATAGGAATACATAAGCTTATTCTGGTGTTTGGTTATTGTAGCCAAAATCTGGAAACAGTATAAATGTGCTTCAGTTGGAAAGAATTTGTAGCATGTCCATCTGGACATCTAGAAGAGACTATGTTAACAAGTGAAAAAGTTGCCAAGAAACAGGTCCGCAGTATTATCTTTTTTTTTTTTTTTTTTTTAAAGAGACAGAGTCTCACTTTATCGCTCTCAGTAGAGTGCCATGGCATCACAGCTCCCAGCAACCTCCAACACCTGGGGTAAGGCGATTCTTTTGCCTCCCAAGTAGCTGGGACTACAGGTGCCCGCCATAACACCCGGCTATTTTTGTTGCAGTTTGGCTGGGGCCAAGTTCGAACCCGCCACCCTCAGTATATGGGGCCAGTGCCCTACCCACTGAGCCACAGGCATTGCCCTGCAGTACTATCTTAATTGTGTGTCTTTAACTTGTCATAACGGCTCAGCCCCTGTGGCTCAAGCGGCTAAGGTGCCAACCACATACACCTAAGGTGGCGGGTTCGAATCCAGCCCGGACCCACCAAACGATGGCTGCAACCAAAAAATAGCCGGGCATTGTGACGGGCGCCTGTGGTCCCAGCTACTTGGGAGGCTGAGGCAGTAGACTCACTTGAGCCCAGGAGTTGGAGGTTGCTGTGAGCAGTGAAGCCATGGCACTCTACCCAGGGGGACAGCTTGAGGCTCTGTCTCAAAAAAAAAACTTGTCATAGCATTCATGAGGTCTATTAATATTTTCTCCTAGTCATAGAAGAAAATGTGTAAAAATAAAAGAAGGGGAAAAAAAAAAGAAAAAAGAAAAGAAGGTAAAAAAAAGGGAATCAAGAACTAAGTGAGATTGCTTTCTGAAATGTGTAAATGGAGTCGGTTGGGGGCTCAATAGTGTTCCTGGCAATCAGCTCTCCCACCTCAGCAAAAATAGCTTTATCACCCTCTCTGCTTATGACTTTGTAATGATGAAAGTCAGATTTACCTATACTCCTATCAACAAGGAAACAACCCAGCATGTTGGTATAAATCCTTCCAGCCAAAATGGCTGTGGCACACTATACAGTCTGCCTTCATCACATACCTTTCTTTCTTACTATGCCAGTGGAGAGATGACTCTGATTTTAAGGGTTTCATGGTGTTTTTTGTTTCTTTTTGAGACAGAGTCTCACATTGTCACCCCCAGTAGAGTACCTTGGTGTCATAGCTTACAGTAACTTCACACTCTTGGGCTTAAGTGATTCTCTTGCCTCAAACTCCAAAGTAGCTGGGACAACAGGCACCCACCACACCACCTGGCTATTTTTAGAGGCCTGGTCTCAAACCTGTGAGCTCATGCAATCCACCTGCCCTGGCCTCCCAGAGTGCTGAATGTACGATTTGTTTAACCACTACTCCACTAAAGAACATTTAGTAGGTGCTTTCCACTTTTCACCATTATACTCAGTGAGCATGGTCCTGGGAAGGACTTACTAAGACATATTTTTATTTTTAATAACATTCTATCAAACTGCTTTCCAAAAACTAAGTAAACAGTTGGCCCAGTCCAGGGCAGTGTCTCAGGCCTGTAATCCCAGCACTTTGGGAGATGGAAGCAGGTAGACTTCTTGAGCTCAGGAGTTCAAGAGTGAGACCCAGTTTCTACTAAAAATAGAAAAACTAGCTGGGGCCTTGTGTTGGGTGCCTGTAGTCTCAGCTACTCCCTAATCAGGAGGCTGAAGCAAGAGAATCACTTGATCCCAGGAGTTTGAGGTCACTGTTGAGTCCTGAAGCAGGGCACTCTAGCCTGAGGCAATAGTTAGACTCTTGTCTCAAAATAAAAACAAAATAGTTGACCCACCAGCAGAGAAATGTAAGATTCATCATCCTTGGAATCCTGTGGGTTAAGAGGACATACATTAATAGCTGGGCATTGTGGCGAGCACCTGTAGTTCCAGCTACTCCGGAAGCTGAGGCAAGAGAATCGCCTAAGCCCAGGAGTTGGAGGTTGCTGTGAGCTGTGACACCACAGCGCTCTACTGAGGGTGATTAAGTGAGACTGTGTCAAAAAAAAAAAAAAGTGGACGTATATTATTTAAATATACCATCAGACATTTGCATTCCTGTTTTCACATCTTCCTTCTTCTTGATCCCAAAGTGCTCCCTGTATATTAGGGCAGTTGGCTCCTTATTGTGGGTTGCACATTGGGCTTTAGTAGGTTTAATTGTTAATTCTTTATGGTTTTTATGTAAGCAAATTAGAATCCCTGCAATACTACTGTGTATGTAAGTATGGTGTGGAAGGGTTGGGCATTTGCACAAAGATTAGATCAGGTCATGTTTTCCTTCATTGGCGAGGCTGAGCCCCTGGTGGAAGTGCAGAGGTGTACCCAGCAGTCTCTCCAGCCTCTTCTGCCCTGTCCGCAGCTCATGATGGAGCAGTCCAAAAAGTCCTCGCTCATGGTGGCCCGCAGTATCCTGAACAACAAACTCATCAGTAAGAAGCTGGAACGCTACCTGAAGGTGAGACACCTCAGCTGTCCTGCCACCAGCCTCATCACACATATCTTCCCACCTTTCAGTGTGTTCCTCCCCTCAGGGCGAGAACCCTTTCATAGACAGCCCGGAGGAAGAGAAGGAGCAGGAGGAAGCGGAGGGCGGTGTCCTGGACGAGGGGATGCAGGCCGAAGCGGCAGGAGTCGAGGGCGCGGAAGGCACTCTGGTGCACCCCCCAGTGCCCCCAGAACCGGCACCCGGGGTCACATCGCCACCGCCGCCGCCACCCCCGGAGGAGGAGAATGCAGTGCCCCTGCTGGGAGGGGCGCTGGAGCGCCAGATCCGCGGCATCCCGGGCCTGGACGTGGAGGCCGACGACGACGAGGAGGAGGAAGGCGGTGGGGGCGCCCCCTGACCCGGGCCTGGGGCAGGAGGAGCCCATGTGGCAGAGGCTGGAAACCGAACCTAATAAAAGTTCTCACCCCACCTCCTCATTTGTCTGATCTGCGTGCGGCCGGAGGTTGAGGGGCGACGATAGGGCGAGCATGCCAGCGAAAGTGCGCGCCTGCGCACGGGCTGGGCCCCAAAACACCGGGGCTAGATCACAATTCCCTAGATGCGGCACACGCCGCCCCAGAGCAACCCGAAAGGCTAGCTGGGAGGCCCGGGGGCGGGTTCTTCGTCCCGGCCAGCTAATGGTAGCGCGCGGAAGTAGTGACGCGCGCGTCTAGTCTTCCAGTAGCGAACGGCGGAAGGTGCGTTGAACGCATGCGTCCTGTGGCAGCCTAGAAAAGAAGCTGCTGGCGGGCCGCGTCGGAGACATGGAGCAAGGTTACGGAGGTTTGTGTCCGCTGTTTGACTCTGGAAAGGGCGGGAAGGACCTGTACGAGTGGTACAGCCCCTCTAGGGAGAGGGCTGCAGACCCGGGCCTTCATCCTGAGCGCGGTTGCCTCAGGCCGGCCCTGCGGAGAGACGGCCGTGGCACGCGCGCGCCGCTTATTGGGCCTTGGTACCGTCGTTCCCCCGGCGCGCCTGCGGATTGGCCGGCAGAGCTGGAGGAGGCGGGTGGACACTGCGGCGGGCTTCAGGGGGCTGTTTCGACCTTCTGAGCCGTTTTTGCCCTGCAGCCCTGGCTGGGCCAGTCTCGGCCCGGGTGATTCTGGCGCTCGGTCTTGTCTTCCTCTTCCGAAGACGCCACAAGATGGCGGCGCCGGTGGGCGGAGCTACGGCATGGGATCATGGAGTCTGGCCCAGGTCTTTGGGGCTTGGGCAGGAGGCCGACTGCAGGACCCTCCTCTCTCTAGGCTGCCGGGTCTTTGTGGTTCGGCGAGGCCTCTGCCGGGCTCCGATGGCCCGTGTAGCCTGTCTCAGAAGCCGTTTGAGCTGCGCGGTGTCGGACCCCCGAGTCCTGCTTTAGCGCGGGTGGAAGCCAGCTCCGGGATTAGCCTCTTTGGGCGCCATCTGTGTGCCCCGCGCGTGGTGGCACAGATTGCGCGTAGAAGACGACATTGAGAGACAAATGCAGAGTATTTCCTTGTGTAAAGCTGGAAACCTGTTGTGCCTTAGGCCTAGTGACAGATCGGCCGTTTTCCTTTAGATAGTCATTAGTGGTGGCCCAGAGGAGCCAACGGGTTGCGTGGGAGGGGACGTGCCCTTTATCAACTTGGCTTCAGTGCCTACTTAAAGTAGGACAGAGCTTTTCGAGCTGAGCTACCTGCTGGCAGCCTTTAGAAGTAGAGCCTCCTAGGAGGCCTTTGCTCTGTGCTGGGAACCGAGTTTATTCAGAGAGGACAGTTGGAACATGCCGGATGGGGCTTCTCCGGGTGTAGAGAAGCTGCTCATCCGATGATCCTGGACGCAGTACCTAGGGAAGACTCAGATTTCGAACGGTAGCTGGGTAGCAAGGTCCTAACAGCAGAAATTGCAGAAACATCATTTGTAGTGTACTTTGGGTGTCTTCTGGGTCCTAGAGGAGGCTCAACCTGGCTCTCCTGGCCTTTAGCAGTCTGGATCCTGCCATTCTTGCCTCTCATCAGATCTTTCTGCAGGTACTGTGTCCTTTTTTATGCCCATGGTTTGGGGAGGTTCTCCGTATCCCCAAAACCTTTCACACAAAGTGAAGATACTGCAGCCTCTGATTTATTTCTGTCTTTGGGGGTTTTGAGATTAAGCAGATAGTGTATGCCATGTAGACCAGAGCCTTACAGGGAAGTGGGGCTGTGATGTCGGTCATTTGCTGTTAAAATATACCTTCTGCTTTTCTGCTATGGATGTGGAAGCCTAAGTAGTGTGACAGGGAGGGGAGGGCAAAAAACATGGATCAAGTTCCCTAACCTTGAGCTTTGTCCTTGAATGACATTGGGGACAATGGTATTATTATCATTATTGTGTGTTGCCAGTCAGTCAGTGGTGGGAATTTTTCTGGTAAGGGAGATAAGAATATATTCTTGCAGGCTTGGCTCCTGTAGCTCAGGGGCTAGGGGGCTGGCTGTTGGGTTTGAACATGGCCTGGGCCTGCCAAACAGCAATGACAACTATAACAAAAAAAATAGCTGTGTGTTGTGGCAGCCGCCTGTAGTCCCAGCTGCTTGGGAGGCTGAGACAGGAGAATTGCTTAAGCCCAAGAGTTTGAGGTTTCTGTGAGCTGTGATGCCATGGCACTCTACCAAGGGTGACATAGTGAGACTCTGTCTCAAAAACAAAAAAAAGAACACATTGTTGCTTAATCAAGGTCAAATCATTTGACAGGCAGGGGTGGCCACCTGTGCCCAGCTCTGTGTTGGGATCCAGGAACACAGAAATAAAGAGAACATAGTCTCATCCTCCTACCTGGAGGAGCCAGACAGATGCTGTCTCTGTAGGGGGGAATTTTTTTTTTTTTTTTTTTTTGAGATGAGTCTCAAGCTGTCAGCTTACAGCAATCTCCAACTCTGGGGCTCTAGCGATTCTCTTGCCTCCGTTTTTCTATTCCTTTTTTTTTTTTTTTTT